CAGCAGGATATGACTTCTTTTAGTTAGAAAACATTAATAATTGGAGCATTAATAAAAAAGGGACCTCACCTCTCCTTGTATCGTGTGTCCAGGACGCGTTTCATTGTTTTTGTCAGTGCTGCTCTCCTCAGGCAACAAGATTTTTCAAACGGTTACGTCTTTCTGTCCCATGGCGCATTCAACTCCTCTTTGATGAGGCACATTTTATGTTTAATTAAGTTAGTGGTATTGTATAAAGAGACAGTTACACCTCTCCGAATTTCAGCTCTTCAAATATTGCACGTTGCTCTATGGTTTTTGGTCCTTTCTAATATTTCCACACAGCGGACGTATTTCTTTGCAGCCTGCTATCTGGCTACAAAATGTGGAGTGGATTCCCTGAATTGTGGCCTCATGATCTTGTTGAGCCACGTTCTGTTCAGGAAAGTGATTCCACAGTTTACAGTCATCCAACTGTCTGATTCCTGCTAGCGGGTCTGTTAACTCTAATTGTTATTCTAACAGACAGGGATCAGACAAGACTGGAAAGCAGACATGGTTCATGGATTGGAATTTGTTGCAGGTTGGATTGGAGTCCGCTAATTGCGTTGGGATTGGCTGCCGATACCGGTACTGTATCGGATCGGCCCCATCCCTAGTTTCAACGATACCTTGCTCAGCCAGAAAAATATACAAATATAAAGTGTATATAAAAAGGTCACCCACCCCTGGCTGAGTGACATTTATTGGTAAATTACTCACTCTACAGGAAATTAGAATATTTTCTATTTAGGGAAAAACAAACTCACTTCCAGTGGCCTTTTTATGATTATATAAAAATATATGAGAATATTTATGACCCCATGGAAAACAAGCTGAAGCAGTGGAAGTTCAGTGGAAGTTATCTTATTCAAGGAGTACTGCAAAGTCCCATGAATTTTCCTTGTCTGAGCTGATTTTTTGGTATTTAATAACATTTATTCAGATTTATTTCCTGGCACAGGAAGGAGATCAGAAAGTGCTAGTTGTAACTCTTGTAAATAAATTAGGTTGTTAAAAACTAAAAATTTTGTACTGTACTGTTTAAACACAACTATCCACCTACTTAGTGTTGTGATTTACTCAGTAAAATGTTTTGTTTGCTTTAGGCTTTTCCCACTTCTGCACAGTCCAACGCTGAAAAACCTTTAGCCCTGGACACCAGCACAGCCAACAACACAGAGTATGAACCTGAGACAGCGTTGGCCTGTCTTCCTCCACAGGAACGGGAACAAACACTGGAAGACAAGGAAGAATATGTGGAGCCCGAGATGAAGGAGGCCAGAGAAGAAGTCTGGGCACAGGAGCGAAAAGACCCAGTGCATGAAGAGAAGGCAGGTTATCTCACTGAGACCACGAGCAAAAGTGAGGCATGCGTGGTATGCAGCGAGGGGTGTCACTCCAACCCAGAGCAATCGGACAGAAGGCCAAGAAAAACACACTCTATGCAGGAGAGAGGAAGCTTCTGGGGTTGCCATGAGCCCAGACCTTCTCACTTGAGGAAACCACACACAGGTAACCACACTGCATTGTGGGTAAATTCCATTACTTTTTAGTAGTAAGTAATGGAATGAAGCAGTGTGTGGGGGCGGTGCCATGCACAGAGCACCTCAGTGGTAATTTGGCAGCTGGTGGACTTGAACCTAAAACTTTGCAGATCCAAGGCTGCTTCCTTAACCACCAAGCCACCACTGTCCTATATATGTATATGTATACTATATATACATAAAAAAGTTTTATAATTATATATCAGTATATCATAAGATTTGAAGACACCGAAACCCCATTTCGTTCACGTGTACTGCAGGAGTCACGTTTTAGAACCACACAGATCGTTGTTAACGTCAGAGCAGGCAGAGATGACTGCTGTTGGAAAAAGCTCTTCTTCCTTCCAGGTGGGTAGAACGTTGAACAGCTTCTATCCTAAATCTTGGCAGGTAGAGCAGAACCATTTTCCATGCAATCACCAAAGTCAGCAGAGGAAGGCAGCAGGCAGCACTCAGTTGCTGACAAATGGAGGATGATTCCTCACCTCGGGGAGAAGAGCTTTTATCCCAGGGTCACTGTGTATTCACTTTTACTCTAAAATATCTAAGTTAACTTAGATTGAGTGATGTACTGACCTTTTTTTTTTAACTAAACCGACAACATTTTTACTAAGCTATATGATGAAATGCTTCATAAACTGTATGATATATAGTGGTATTTCTATATGTATCTAATGAAAATACTGCTGTATAAGCCACACCCAACATTTGGTTCACTGCAGGTCTTAAATAAACATCCTATAAGCCTTTTAAAATTCAAGATATATTTATTTTGGGAAGATTTAGAGTGGGACAAAGTTATAAACTGAGGATAAACTGAGGTGCTTTTAAAAAGCAGGTAATCAGGTAATATATGGCTTGACAATGTATGGATACAATGGTGCCTACACTGACGCCTTATACAGTTGTATGAAAAAGTTTGGGCACCCCTGATCATTTTCAAGATTTTCCTTTATGGATCATTGGTTGTTCGGAACAGCAATTTCAATTAAATATATCATATAGCAAACAAACACAGTGATATTTAAGAAGTGAAATGAAGTTCATAGGATTTACAGAAAGTGTGCAATAATTACTTTAAAATTACATTAATATTTAGTAGATCCTGCTTTTGCGAAATAACAGCCTCTAAACGCTTCCTATAGCTTCCAATGAGGGTCTGGATTCTGGTTGAAGGTATTTTTGACCATTCTTCTTTACAAAACATCTCCAGTTCAGTCAGGTTTGATGGTTTCCGAGGACAAGCCGCTTTAAAACAGACCACAGATTTTCAATGATATTCAGGTCTGGGGACTGAGATGGCCATTCCAGAACGTTGTACTTGTTCCTCTGCATGAATGCTTTGCTAGAATCTGAGCAGTGTTTAGGGTCGTTGTCTTGTTGAAGTATCCAGCCCTGGCGCAACTTCAACTTTGTCACTGATTCTTGAACATTGTTCGCAAGAATTTGCTGATACTGACTGGAATCCATGCGACCTTCAACTTTAACAAGATTGCCAGTACCTGCACTGGCCACACAGCCCCACAGCATGATGGAACCACGACCAAATTTAACTGTGGGTAGCAAGTGTTTGTCTTGGAATGATGTGTTCTTCTTCCGCCATGCGTACCGCCCCTTGTTATGTCCAAATAACTGAATTTTAGTTTCATCAGTCCACAGCACCTTATTCCAAAATGAAGCTGGCTTGTCCAAATGTGCTTTAGCATACCTCAAGTGACTCTTTTTGTGACATGGGCGGAGAAAAGGCTTCTGCCACATTACTTTGCCATACATACATATGTCCTTGTGCAAAGTGCACTGAATAGTTGAACGATGCACAGTGACACCATCGCAGCAAGATCATGTTGAAGGTCTTTGGAGCTGGTCTGTGGGTTGAGCTTGACTGTTCTCACCATCCTTTGCCTCTGCTTATCTGATATTTTTCTTGGCCTACCACTACGGGCCTTAACTAGAACTGTGCCTGTGGTCTTCCATTTCTCACTATGTTCCTCACTGTGGAAACTGACAGCTGAAATCTCTGAGCGAGCTTTTTGTATCCTTCCCCTGAACCATGGTGTTGAACAATCTTTGTTTTCAGGTCATTTGACAGTTGTTTTGAGGCTCCCATGTTGCCAGTCTTCAGAGAAGATACAAAGGGGAGAGCAACTTGCAACTGGCCACCTTAAATACCCTTTCTCATGATTGGCTTCACCTCTGTATGTAGGTCAAGGGTCAATGAGCTTACCAAACACATTTTGTGTTCCAATAATTAGTGCTAAAGGTATTCAAATCAATAAAACAACAAGGGTGCCCCAATTTATGCACCTGCCTACTTTTGTTTAACTAATTATTGCACACTTTCTGTAAATCCTATAAACTTCATTTCACTTCTTAAATATCACTGTGTTTGTTTGCTAAATAATATATTTAATTGAAATTGCTGTTCCGAACAACCAATGATCCATAAAGGAAAATCTTGAAAATGATCAGGGGTGCCCAAACTTTTTCATACCAATGTATATGTAACAATAATAGAGTATAAGCCACATTGGCTATTTTTGCACTTGTGTAAAATTTAAATTCAAACCACATAATTGTTTTATTCCGTACATCATGGTAAATGTCATATCTGTTACTGAATAAATGCTGGTCTGAAAGTTTGGAAAATTTTAAAACAAATTAGAAAAACTGTACTTGTACCTGTAAAGTAAAAAAAGAAATAATTAGGAATCAAACATAACGTCTGCTTTCTTTGTGTAGCTGACAACTAATTCTTCTTTGTTTCTCCAGCCTCTATGTGCAGCAGCGTTAGCCCCTACCATGAGGTAATGAGGATGGAACGGCGTCTACGCTCCTCATCTGAGGGGGCAGGTGGCCTTCACATCCATGGCAACCACAGAGATGCCCCGGCCATGGGGGATTGTGGTCTGCTCAAACACAGGCACAACTCCTCATCATCCAAACTCGGAAGTCTGGTAGGTTTGGAGTCAGAAGTGTATAAAAAGTAGAGTAGAAAGTTACAAAAAAGACTTGATGGAGATTTACAGTATATAGCATATTCCTATTTCTATTTTATAATAATTAAAATGTATGGTTGTTTACAATAAAAATAACTTTTTGTGCTGGCTGGGTGCTGCACTCCTTAGTTTGCAGATTTGTTCACAGTGGAGATTATCTTAAACAGAGATTTCGACAATTCATCTTAGAAAATAATGTATGTGTAACGTACTTAAGCCCTAAAATGGAGAAGGTACCACATGTTGATTATTCTGAAGCTTTACATCTGGTCTGCTGTATATTCATGTCATGTCAATAGGTAACAAACACAGTAACAGCTCTGAGTGTATCCAAGATCTCTGTGCCATAGGATGTAAGAAGTCATTCAAGATTTTAAACTTGTATTCACTTTCACAGGGTAACTCACATACAGTCTGTGCTGCAGAGCCTGGAGGACAATTTCCCCTCTGCTGCTTAGCCAGATCAAAGGTCAAAGCCTGTCTCTGTGGGCCTTATTCTTCTCTCAGGGCTCTGTTAACTGCTGATGTTAAGTTTGCTATAGATAGTAGGTGAAAGGTCTGTCCACAGTCTGAAAGACATTCTGACTTTTTTGTAATATAGAGATAAACATGTTGCCCTAATGTTGCCCTGGAAGGTGCCTTTATGTCCGTCAGGCTAGAACAGGATGTAGAGAAAACCCTGTGTCAAACCAGGGAGCAAGTAATGGGTAGTAGTTTCATATATTAGAAGGTCATCAGTAGGAAGGTTGCAGTCCACTTGTTGATCCAGATGCCGCTCTATGGGGTCTTCATCCTGTATCTGATCAAATATTGGGTTTTGTTAAATTTTATCTAACTTTCTCTTCTTGTATTTTTATGGGTGCAGCTTTTATGATAGTTATGGGGAAAAAAAACATCCAACAGCCGTTTTAGTTGAGTAATAGTGGATTCTAAGTTACCGCCATTTTATGTAACTGGGCATCAGCTACTAAACAGCTGCTCTTTATGAGCCACACATTTGTCTTATACACAGCCTTTGTTGATTAGGCCGACCTTAAAACCCTATATTTGTCACATATTCCAGCGTCTGTTCAAAAGTTTGCATTTATGCTATACTTTGCCGGACAGGAAAGGGGTAAAACAGGCACTTCTTCACCCTTTTCTCTAGTTCCTGTCACAGTTAAAAAAGTGTTTGAATACTTTGGTGGCAATAAAGAAAGTTTTAACGCTCGGTAGCCCCTCATATCCTGGACAAAAATAATAACACTGAGAAAAATCCACCACCTAATTGCCGTTCTATCACTACACAACGAGCCTTGCTGGTTACAGGGGGAAGAAAAGAGTGAGTGTAATTGACTGCAAGTGTAATCAGTAGCTAATGCACTGCTTTATTATACACTGTACATTATCATTAGGGTTCTTCTTAAGCTCACTGGACTGTTCATCACAGCTGTGACAACAATAGTTTCTATCCTAAAGCCTTTTCCACATCAACAGTTACTTTAATAAACTGCATTAAATTGCAAATCACACTGAAGTGAATTTTGATGCAGACTCTGTCACTTCTTGTTTGCTGACATGAACATTTGACAAACTCATCCAAACAGTTACTCCACTAGTAGCCATGTATGTTAAAGTAATATGATAAAACAAAATCTACAATGTAAGTGAAGAAAATATCTGAAGGTGTTTCAAAAGTTTTATGACACTCCTTTTCTAATATTTTAGAAGAACAAGAACCAAACTTATTATGTCTGTACTCATAAAGAAACATATAACCAATTATGTGGTTTATTCACAATACTGTCCGTGTTTTCACAGAAATTCAAAGTTTTTACACAAACCGTTGTGGTTCTTCTAATGTCCCTTCTCCCTACAGTAGTAACCATTTCTGTGTGTTCCTCGTACTGCTGCTAGTTCCTACTGTTCCTCAGTTGTGAGTTTGAGAATATTTGCTAAGCTGAATATGTGCGATAATTTTTGCAGATGAACCGTTTGATTATATTAAGGCATTTATATAATAGTGCCAGATGTTTGAAAAACTTATTACGATCAGCCTGTAGATGGCAATCGACTTATTGGGCACCACTGATTTAGATTAATTTATAAATGTAATCACATCTCACCCTTAATATATATATTTCTTTCCATTTAGAGCTATAAACCCCTTAACATTCTCATAGTCATATGTTTTTATTAAATTGTATATTCTTTTCTTTTTTTATCTTCTTTAGCTTCTGTAAACCTTGTAAAAATGGGATTTGACTGAGAAATTCAAAAGGCAAGGACTGTAAATGTCAGATCACATCATTCGATTGGCTCTATGACAAACTATACACACACAAATGTAGAATAATCTCTTCTTTCCGTCCAATAAAGCGCCCTTCAGGGGTCATGGAGGTGAGGCAGCAGCTTAACAGAGAAGATTAATTTATGTACACTGCACTTCTGCAGACTCCGTAGTGGTTGTTGCACTTAGGGGTAATAAAAAACATTAGAGACACTAAGCTCTTACAGTGAGCCTATGCTGGACTGTTGTTTGTGCAGAGAAATCAAAACATTGCGTCACATATTTAAATTCAAAACCTGAGGGAATGGAGTTATGAGGTAGATGATCTATCTCTGTATCTCTTTATGTGTGCAGTGTGGATGACTGTGGTTTAAATAATGATAGACAGCCCATGACTTATATTGTTTCATTCAAATACTTTACTTTTCTTATTGTTGACATGCCATTGTGTTCCAGACAGATGACTAATATCACAACACAAGTACAGGGTTAGATACAGATACAAAGGACTGATTTGTGTATTCCAGACACTGATGACAACAGACTGCCATTGCTGTGGTCATTCTGTGCTGTCACTCTAGATGTTACTGTTCTTTTAATATACCTGTTGGAGCTGAGAAATATTTAGTTTTATCATCATCGAGGTGATAATGCTCGGTGCCAGATGACCGACAGCAGATGACTAAATGAATTGAAGGAGAGAATTAAATTGAACCTGCACAAAATTAATCACAAAAAACGAATGTAATAATTAGGTAATACGATAATTATAATATCATCAATTAGATATAAATTGCAAATATTTCACCGTGCCTGCTGTCAAGGCTGTGAAGTTATTATATCTGTAGTCTAACATTTGAAACATTTTGCGGAATAAGTTTGTGTTTGTATCTGGAAATATTGGTGTCAGTGTTCAATTAGTGCTTCATTAGTTATCAGGGAAGAACAAATGTCTGTTGAAGTCATTCCCCGCAGGAGAGATTGTCTGTTTCTGCTGCAGAAACAAGATTAAAAATAGATTACTTCAATACACTGAAACTATAATCACCAACAACCGTCATGCTGAAATACACTGCTCAAAAAAATAAAGGGAACACTTAAACAATACAATGTAACTCCAAGTCAATCACACTTTTGTGAAATCAAACTGTCCACTTAGGAAGCAACACTGATTGACAATCAATTTCACATGCTGTTATGCAAATGGAATAGACCAGGTGGAAATTATAGGCAATTGGCAAGACACATCCAATAAAGGATGGGTTCTGCAGATGGTGACCACAGACCACTTCTCAGTTCCGATGCTTTTTGGCTGATGTTTTGGTCACTTTTGAATGCTGGCGGTGCTTTCATTCTGGTGGTAGCATGAGACGGAGGTTACAACCAACACAAGCGGCTCAGGTAGTGCAGCTCATCCAGGATGGCACATCAATGCGAGCTGTGGCAAGAAGGTTTGCTGTGTCTGTCAGTGTAGTGTCCAGAGCATGGAGGCGCTACCAGGAGACAGTCCAGTACATCAGGAGACGTGGAGGAGGCCGTGGGAGGGCAACAACGCAGCAGCAGGACCGCTACCTCCTTCTTTGTGCAAGGAGGAATAGGAGGAGCACTGCCAGAGCCCTGCAAAATGAGCTCCAGCAGGCCACAAATGTGCATGTGTCTGCTCAAACGGTCAGAAGCAGACTCCATAAGGGTGGTATGAGGGCCCGACGTTCACAGGTGCGGGTTGTCCTTACAGCCCGACACCGTGCAGGACGTTTGCCATTTGCCAGAGAACACCAAGATTGGCAATACGCCACTGGCGCCCTGCGCTCTTCACAGATGAAACCAGGTTCACACTGAGCACATGTGACAGACGTAACAGAGTCTGGAGATGCCGCGGAGAACGTTCTACTGCCTGCAATATCCTCCAGCATGACTGGTTTGGCAGTGGGTCAGTAATGGTGTGGGGTGGCATTTGTGCTCGCCAGAGGTAGCCTGACTGCCATTAGGTACCGAGATGAGATCCTCAGACCCCTTGTGAGACCATATGCTGGTGCAGTTGGCCCTGGGTTCCTCCTAATGCAAGACAATGCTAGACCTCATGTGGCTGGAGTGTGTCAGCAGTTCCTAAAACATGAAGGCATTGATGTTATGGACTGGCCCGCCCGTTCCCCAGACCTGAATCTAATTGAGCACATCTGGGACATCATGTCTCGCTCCATCCACCAACGCCAAGTTGCACCACAGTCTGTCCAGGAGTTGGCGGATGCTTTAGTCAAGGTCTGGGAGGAGATCCCTCAGGAGAACATCCGCCGCCTCATCAGGAGCATGCCCAGGCGTTGTAGGGAGGTCATACAGGCACGCGGAGGCCACACCACTACTGAGCCTCATTTTGACTTGTTCAAAGGACATTACATCAAAGTTGGATCAGCCTTGAATCACAACGTTAACGTGGTGGAGGGGTTTGAGTATCCGAATGAACCTAGGAGCTTGTCGGGGGCTTAACGCCCCTGGTAGGGTCTCCCAAGGCAAACAGGTCCTAGGCGACGGATCAGACAAATAGCGGTTCAACCCCCCACTCCCTACCTCCC